GTTGCACTCAGTTTGCTATCAAACTCAAGAGCAAACTTGGAAATCTCCTCCTCAAACCTACAAGTCACTATACATATTTTGGCTTATCACACCAACAACAAGAGCAATACTACTCAACGATTGCTACAACCATCTATGATTCATTACACGTCATCGCTCCTTAGTTACTGGGCCGATATTACCACATAGCATATCTCTACAACCCTCTATGATTCATTACATGACATCACTCATACTACCACATGACATATCTCTACCACATGACATATCTCTACCAACTAGAGGCCTAGGAGCATGAACGATAGCTCTAAAAGCTCCTACGAACCTCTATGATTCATTACATGTCATCGCTCTTTAGTTACCCACAAGATTGGTTAAGTTATGACATAATTTGTCTATGACATAATTTGTCTATAGGGGTACTCTGACCTTGGACCTCCTTTTACTTCCTATAGGCTACGAACCTAAGAGATGGTTCTATGGGATTCTCTTACGTCGACTACAGTTACCAAGCCTGGTAAGTCATGGAAAGTCTTGGAAAATGAGAGAACTACACTCCTTTAGCATAAATAGGATTGCCCTTTCCTTAAGAAAGGGCAAGCAGACAATACAGTAAATCGACTATCACATACTTCCACGTCTTTTCCAAGCTTCCAAGCATTGATCTTGTTACTCCTTGTTTCTGAAAAGTCAGTGAGGTGTTAACCTCTGACTTACCCCTGAGTTCCCAGACTCAACATTTGTTGCAACTTGTCTGAACCACTTCACTACATCACACACCTGGTTGCTGCGTTGTGGAATAGTCTAAGCTACGACCCTTTGGCTCTGTTTTCTAAGACAGTGTGTTGTCTTAGTAAATTCATCCCTTCCTTGGGTGGCTAGATTCTCACATCTGGTGCACCCACCATTACAATGAGGCTATTATATTTACGAGTGGTCATGGGTTACAGACGCTATTTCTTACAGGTCTACAGATGCAGATGATGGCTAAGCCACTTCTCCTTTGGAATCAGTTCAAGAGGTTACGGTCATGTGGGGAGAGTTAGGGCAGGTTAGCCGAGTCGGACCTGTTTCGGGTACTTAAGGGGATTGACCCAACGGGGTTCCTTATCATATTTTTTGTATCCTTCGTAGTAGACCTATAGGATAGCATCCGTTTAGCCTCTGACTCGCACTCTCATATGCTATTACTGTGAGTTGAGTGCCCTGTGTCCTTACAGCTTGGGTATATGAAGTTGGTGGATCTTCTTCTCCGCTCTCCCCTTCTGGTCTTGTCGAAAGCTCTTCCTGGCGCTCACGAACGAGAGTACTCACAAGCCGCCCAAGGGAGTTATGAGTTGTGCTTTGGATAGACTCAAACTCTCGAGTCACAAGCCTCCAAAACGCCCGGTCGGCCATATGGCGTACAGCTCTGCTTTATCAAAGCAGATCTGTAAGACTATCATCTTCTCACTTTCGGTAGCCCCTTTCCAGCCTTTCGCCCCTTTCCCTTATCATTATTATTGCCTCCTCTTTCGGTATCAGTTGCTAACTGAGTATAGCTTTGGCTATTATCACTTATGAAGCCTTCAGTTTGGATATATTCAGCAGTATGAACAGTATCAGCTTCGTCTGCCAGAAGGAATGCATTAGTATGCAGCTGTGTATATGGTTCGCTTTGGAAACTAGGCGCTGGCGAGTGGAAACGGAAGCTATCCGGAGGATTCGAGGGTACTGGATGGGATGAGGAGGCTTGGGAAGTCGAGATATCGACTTGAAACAACGAATAATAGGGGTTCATATTGCTGTATATAGTCTATATTATCGTTATACTACTCATACAGCTTCTCGGCTTCACATTTGCATGTTGAATCAAAGTTGTAGTCTAACCTATTATAATTATAACTAATCTATATACAGTAATGATACCTGCTGCTACAGTGTATTACCTCGGTGCTACACTGTAACAGTGGTCTTCCTAATCAGGCAATTTTGATGCTGGGATTGGTCAGGGGTCTACTTCCTATTACGGCTAATACAGGTGGGGCTGCTACATTTTGCTACAGTGTTACAGCACTTCTGAAGCGGCCTATTGTGGTCTCACCCGATGGTCTCAACTGACGGTATCGATCGTCTCCCTCCACTTGATGGTCTCGATGAAAGACATTTTCATATTTTAGCATTCTGCACGAAGCAAGGCGTAAGCATGGCAGGAGCTGCAGCAGCATCAAGGGAGTCGGGATGAGGTAACCATAAAATAAATACGATACACATAATAAAGCTAGCAAAATTCAAACAGTGGGCTGGCTACATAATCTTGACAGGACATCCTATCTGCAAACGCCAGCCCTAGACCCTCTCCAAAGGTGCCAACCGTCGAACTCCCTCACCCCACTGTTCGTCTTCCGTTCTTCTCCAAAATCATACTTTACACATCTTGGCTTTCCTGTGCCGAAACACTTGGTATATACCAAGGTATTTGGTTTGAAGAGGGCCCAAAGCAGGTCATATGTGATGTGGCCGTCTTCTAAGAGGGGGTTCAGACTCTGTCTTGTGGGTCCATAGGCTGTCTTGATGTAATCGATGAGTGACTCCAAATGTGATTCATGTTCAGCGATCTTCTGGTCGACATCCCGATAGGGTGTTAGACATTGATCCTATCTTCATAGAATTACCAGAGAAGGAGGTAGAAGGGGACGACATCGATGAACTCCAAAGGGACTATGAGGAAATGGATATATCTTCTCAGACAAATAGGATACCACTTCGGCCAAACAAAGGGAATGATCAAAACTGTCATACTGACATTCGTTGCACTCAGTTTGCTATCAAACTCAAGAGCAAACTTAGAAATCTCCTCCTCAAACCTACAAGTCACTATACATATTTTGGCTTGTCACACCAACAACAAGAGCAATACTACTCAACGATTGCTACAACTATCTATGATTCATTACATGTCATTGCTCCTTAGTTACTGGGCTGATATGACCACATAGCATATCTCTACAACCCTCTATGATTCATTACATGACATCACTCCTTAGTTACTGGGCTAATACTACACATGACATATCTCTATGAACTAGAGGCCTAGGAACATGAACAATAGCTCCAAAAGCTTCTACAACTGTCTATGATTCATTACACGTCATCGCTCCTTAGTTACCCACAAGATTGGTTAAGTTATGACATAATTTGTCTATAGGGGTACTCCGACCTTGGACCACCTTTCACTTCCTATAGGCTAGAAACCTAGGAGATGGTTCTATGGGATTCTCTTACGTCGACTACAGTTACCAAGCCTGGTTAGTCATGGAAAGTCTTGGAAAATGAGAGAACTACACTCCTTTAGCATAAATAGGATTGCCCTTTCCTTAAGAAAGGGCAAGCAGACAATACAGTAAATCGACTATCACATACTTCCATGTCTTTTCCAAGCTTCCAAGCATTGATCTTGTTACTCCTTGTTTCTGAAAAGTCAGTGAGGTGCTAACCTCTGACTTATCCCTGAGTTCTCAGACTCAACATTTGTTACAACTTGTCTAAACCACTCCACTACATCATACACCTGATTGCTGCGTTGTGGAATAGTCTAAGCTACGACCATTTGGCTCTTTTTCCTAAGACAGTGTGTTGTCTTAGTAAAATCATCCCTTCCTTGGGTGGCTAGATTCTCACATCTGGTGCACCCACCATTACAAAAACCAGGAACCCCAACACTAGGAACGATCGTCCGAGAAATGTTCATGATAGTCCGAGGAGTCCTAACACTCAACGGGCGGATTCCCATACAAATGAGGGACCTGAGACAACTCTTCGTACAAATGAACAATCGTCTCGTACAAACGAACAGGGCACTCCTCAAAAGGAACAAAGCCATGAGAACGATTGTACGATAATTATTCAGGATAGTACAAACGATGTTAGCATTCCTATGAAAGGAAGTGAACCATGGCCTACACCCGACCTATCGTCACCTATCCTGCGATCAGAACATGAGGATGAAGATGATGATATAGATGAATTAAGCATCATGTACCAACCGTGACAGGAAGGAAATATCTGAAGGCAAGCCTATCATGCGACCCTAGAGTTCGTCGTCTGGAGCTGAAAGGTTTGCTAGGGGTTCCGTAGATGTCCAGAAGCTTCAGATGATGTTGTCTGAGGACACTTGCACTTTGATGCAGTGGAAGCAATCTCCATGTCCACGATAGCTTTGACCATTTCAAAAAGCTGTTGTGTTCCCTTATATATTCGTGAAGCATCATATTATTCACCATAATGGATGTCTAATCCATTCTAGGAGGCCATTCATCCCTGTTAAACCTGCCGTCCAAGGTTGCAGGATGAGTTGGGTTTGTAAGACACTGTCGCAGATTTCGGGGTCTATATTCGGGATCCTCATCCTCGAGGCTTCTTTGATGTTGGAGCGGCATGATGAAGTGCTGTTTGGGGACCTCAATAAGGTGACCACATGCATTGTGGTAGCATGAGTAGGGTTGACAGAGGTAACTCGAGGCGGGGAGGGACGAGAGGGACGGGACGGGACGGGACGGGACGGGACGAGACGAGACGGGACGGGACGAGACGGGACAAAATGACGGGGTGACACTGGACTTGTCAAGGATACGTGCATGAAAGGCGAAAGTACGGGTAGTGGCACTAGCACCGATAACTACGGACCTTGCTGGTGTAATGCAGGTCCAGAAGAGTTCTCCCAGGAGAGTATTTCTTCCCAACTTCACATTAGAGTACGCCTCGGTCCATACGTAAAACACTACATTTAGCTTGTCTAGTTGCTTGTTAGAATAGAATTCGTAGAGGTAGTATATTGACTCTCCATTAACGATTGGCATTCAATACAACCAACTCTTCATTGCCAACCGATGTTCGAACTTCCATTGAACCTCTCCGACTGTGGCCTCCCCGCCTAGTATTATGCGACTCTTTCTTTGCATTCTCCATCACCTCATTGAAATAGTCGTTTCTTTCCTCTTGCGCCTCCTTTCCTCGAACTATCAATGGAGACAACTCGAGCAGTCCGGTCCCATGATGAATGCACATTTCTTTTGTGTGAAGTTGTTGATCAGACTGTGGCGGAAAGCTTCCGGGTACAGCATTGTCATATTTGACCGGCCTTGCCGTTTCCCAAGCGATGACTGTGGGAAAAGAGTGACGATCCGGGGATGGGTCTTAGAGATTACGTCAAGATTCTTCTCATCGTGGTCTAGCGGGTCAAAAAGCTGGGACCGCCATTCTTTCCGGTGTTCGCGTTCCAACAACGGAGTTACTGTGATTTTCAACTCGCCGCTCTGAGTATTGTTCCAAACGTCGATGGCTGAATTGGCAAGCGTGAGGAGGTCTTTTCGCAGACTCTCGTTCTGGGATGGACTGACTAAGGGAGACAGGACAGACAAGACTCTAGAGATAACATGATCAGCTCTAACGGATTGAGCTACATCCGAAGGTTGAGGCGGCATTGGGCTGACAGATAACGTTTCTAAGCTCGCATCGTCAGAGCTGTCCAGACTTTTGCTACGCGCCCGTCAGGATTGTACTTGAGTAGTTCATCCGATAGCTTGACGAGGAGACTATTGAAATCTGGGTGCAAGAGTGTGAACTCTGAGCGAAGGGGTTTCCAGACGTATTCACATATCGCATTAGAGATAATTCGTTGAGCATGAGCAGTGCGGAGGTCGTGTGAATTATCGGTTTCATCGATTGGGATGGAGCCAAACGAGGGGTCTTGCGCGACCAATTTCCCGTGTACTATCTCAAGGTCCTGATATGTAGTAAGTAAGAATACAAAGTAGAGGGAGGGCGCCCACCTGATATTCTTCGGTTCTTATTGTAAATAAATTCCTCTTCCATCATTGCTCGAGCATGTCAGCACCACACCATCAAAGCCGCATCTTCAACCCCTGACTCTCATAATACCTAAATCAACAAAAACCATCAGCCATCCAAAAGAAGAACCGTCCACTCACGCAAGACCACTGCTTACCGGACCAACTTCCTATCATTGCCCTTGAAACAGTCAAGACATATGCGCTTCAACCCCGCACTCCTCACCTGCTCCTTAACAAAAGCAATAAGCTTCGCCGCAGCCCCCTTCCTCTCCTCCCCCGCATCACGATTCGAAATCAGATACGCCAAATAAACAAACGGATCACTCTCATCAACAATCGAGTTGATACTGTGGGAGTCGGCGAACGTGGATATGACAGTGGCAACGATCGCACAGCTAATCATGCCAACGGCGGAAGACCTCGTCAAAGCACAGCCTTGCAGGGCAACCACCAACTTAGTCTTGGACCCTGGACCCAGGCTGTCAGGGAGATTGTCCAGAGTATGGGAGCTACCAACTGTGCGATCAAAGATCTGCAACTCAAGTTTGCATCTCATAGGGATGAGCTTGCGAAGATGGATGAAATTATGGATACGCTCACCGTGTTGGAAAAAGAGCGCCAGGAAATGGACACGCAGATAATGAGGCAGGAGAATACCATCACCACCTTGACCACTATGGATATGAAAAGGGAGGCCAACATTGTAGAGAGAGAGAAGGAGCTAGATAAAAGAGAAAAAGAGCTGGACCAAGAGAAGGTGAAACAGGAGAAGAGAGTCGCTGCAGTTATGGCAGAAGAAAGACTGAAATTGAAAAATGAGTATACTGAGCTTATGAAACAGGTTGTTCAAAGTTGCGATGAACGCAGGAAGGAGCTGGAAGATGAATCCGCCGGAGAAAAAGTCATGAATGAAAGGAGACTAACCGCACCAACAACAAGGGACACCAACAACAACGGACACCAACAACAACGGACACCAACGGACACCAACGGACACCAACGGACACCAACGGACCCCAACTGACCCCAACTCACCGCCGCACATCACCTCCCCCACAGACCCAACATTGACAAACCACCTCCAACCCGCACCGCCCATCCCCACCAAGCTTCACACAAGCACTCAAGCACCGAGTACATACAGTAGTTACTGCCACGCCGTTGGGCAGGGGGGCGGGTGGCGGGTGGCAGGGGGCGGGTGGTGGGGGCGGGGGCTACGTCATGCATGCATGCACGCGACCAGTGCTGGGCTTGGGACCGGCTCGGCAGGTGGGCGGTGGTGAGACGGGGTCGGAGATTGGTGTTGATGGTGGGAGGGACGGAAGGGAAGGGAGGGGAGGGGAGAGGAGGGATGGGAAGGTGGCAGTTACTCCGAGGGGAAAGGCCGAGTGAGGGAGGATTAGGAGTAGGATGGACGTACTCTATGCAGGCGTGGTGGTGTTGTTCACATCACAGATCCTCCCCTAACCGCAGTGCACCCCCGTCCCCGTACTCCCCCGTCCCCGTACTCCCCCGTCCCCGTACTCCCCCGTCCCCGTACTCCCCCCCATCCCCTCCCCACCCAGCGGCTGAACTCCCCGGTCCCCCGCCCATCCCCTCCCCACCCACCGGCTTAACTTCCCCGTCCCCCGCCCATCCATCCCCCCTGATAAACTCCCTCCCTCCCCAGCCTCTTCTCCCCAGCCTCTTCCTCCCAGCCTCTTCCTCGCTCCTCTCTCGACCAATCCGCGCGGCGTAAGGCTCTTGGCGTGGATGGGAGGAGGGAGGTGGCGGGCTTGGCGCGGCTTGGCGGGCTAGGGGGTTTTATTGTTTTTTGGGCGGGAGGGCCCAGACACCCCGGCCCGCGACGCCGTCATAGGTCAATAGGTCATGGGGGCTAGTCGACGTCATTTGGTGTGCGGGACGTCATGGCTCCACTTGTTGGTTGGGGTTGGGATGGGGATGGGGATGGGGATGGGGATAGGGGGAGGAAGAGAGTGGTAGGCGCGGGTGTGGTGTGGTGGTGTGTGGTGGTGTGGTGGTGTGGTGGTGTGGTGGTGTGGTGGTGTGGTGGTGTGGTGGTGTGGTGTGGTGGTGTGGTGTGTGGTGGTGTGGTGGTGTGGTGGTGTGGTGGTGTGGTGGTGTGGTGGTGTGGTGGTGTGGTGGTGTGGTGGTGTGGTGGTGTGGTGGTGTGGTGGTGTGGTGGTGTGGTGGTGGTTGATCATCGCTCCTTCCCATCCCCATCCCCCTTGGCGCGGAATTCGCCAAGGGGTTGCGGGGCGATGGGGGGCATGCCACGTGTGGTTGTGCGGTTGTGCGGTTGTGCGGTTGTGCGGTTGTGCGGTTGTGCGGTTGTGCGGTTGTGCGGTTGTGCGGTTGTGCGGTTGTGCGGTTGTGCGGTTGTGCGGTTGTGCGACGGTGGGGTTTCGAGTATGAGTTTGTAACTGTGACTCGGGAGGGTGTGGTTGGTGGAGGTAAGGGAGGGAGATAAGGGAGGCAGGGGAGGTAGGGGGGGAGATAGGGGAGGTAGGGGGGATAGGGGAGGTAGGGGAGGTAGGGGAGGTAGGGGAGGTAGGTATTGGCAGTGTCATATGCGGAGGAAGGGAGTGTACATAGGGAAGGGAGGTAAGCGGCGATGGGATGGCGATGATGGCGATGATGGCGATGGGATGGAATGTTGCTGCGTCTGGCCCTGCATCCGGAAGAGGGGGGGCACACTCCATCCCTCTTTCGGCCAGGCCCTCCCCTTTCAACCCTTGCTGAACCTTGCCCTGGTTGGTTTTTCATAGCCTGGGCTTTTCCTATCCTGTGTTTTTTGGGGTTGTGCTTCTGGTGTGCTGTCCCTTGTTTGGGAATAGGTAGAGTACAGTAGAGTACAGCAGAGTACTCTGCTCCGTACAGCAGAGTAAGTAGAGTACAGTAGGGTACAGTAGAGTACAGTAGAGTACAGTAGAATACAGTAGAGTACAGTAGAATACAGTAGAGTACAGTACAGTAGAGTACAGTAGAGTACAGTAGAGTACAGTAGAGTACAGTAGAGTACAGTAAAGTACAGTAGAGTACAGTAGAGTACAGCAGAGTACAGCAGAGTACAGCAGAGTACAGCAGAGTACAGTAGAGTACAGCAGAGAGAGTACAGAAGTAGAGTAACAGTTCAGTAACAGTACACTAACAGTACACTAACAGTACACTAACAGTACACTAACAGTACACTAACAGTACACTAACAGTACAAACAGACAGTACGCCGTTGTCGTTAAACGCGTGAGGTCCGGAAATAACAGAATGAAAGACGGGAGGGCCAAGGAAGAGGGAGAAGAGGATTAAACCCTTGTAAAAAACGGGCCCCATACTTCCAAAAAAGTTTGGCAGACAGCAGAACCGATAGCTCTCCTTTCGCGCTAGCCCTCCCCCTCCACCCCGCCGTCGTCAAAGAAACCAACCAGCACCACCACCACCACCACCACAACCACCAGCACCAGCACCACCACCACCACCACCACCACCACCACCACCACCAGCACCACAACCAGCACCACAACCACAACCACAACAACCACCACCACCACCACCACCACAACCACCCCTCACCGAACTCCGAAAGACAACCACCACCTCACCAAATTAACAACCCCAACGATCTCGAATGCCGACCTACCCCATCGCCGTGACAAACCTGACCTCACCTGACCTCACCGGACCCCGTTCAACCGCCCTCCACCACCCGCCGACGCTTGAGTGGCTGGCTATTACACCCCACCAGCCTCGCCACAGCAATAACCCGGCCCATCACCAACCGCCACCACAAAACCACAATCCACAACCCCCCAAGTACATACCGGGCAAAGGGCAAACCAATACCCTCTTTACGATCACTGAGAGACTAAAGAAACGAGAAAGCCGAGGAATCGTATACTACGACCCGACGCAGAGATCAATCTACCATACCTACTTCTACCATACCTACTTCTACCATACCTACTTCTACCATACCTACTTCTACCATACCCTACATCCGACCGAGTTTTTGGAGCCAACAAGAGCGCGCGCGCGCGGGTTAGATAGTGTACACATTCATAGACATGGCGACTACCACAGCAGCAGCCACAGATTTCGAGGATAAGGTACGATACCCCTTCCCTCCCCCCTCCAACCCCCACGCCCCCCACCAAGAACAACATATATCAAAAAAGCACCAAACCGCTAACACCTACCCCGCCGTGCAGAGCGAGGCCGGCTCCGTCAGCTTCCCGGACTTGGGGGAGAGCATCGATGCCTTGACATTTGAGCAGATCCTGGAGATGGATGATGATGAGGAGGAGAGGGAGTTTAGCAAGAGTATTGTGTTTGGCTTCTTTGACCAGGCGGAGCAGACGTTTGGGGAGATGAAGGAGGCGCTGTTTGTCTCCCCTTTTCTATTTCCCTTCTATCCCTTTCCCAGGTCCATTTCCCCCCTTACCGCTCCCCCTGCAACTTCTGTCCGCCGAAATCGAAAGCAAGAACGGAGAAAGATAAATACAAACTAACCCCCCCTCCAGCGATAAATCCGACCTCGCCTCCCTCGCCTCCCTAGGCCACTTCCTCAAAGGCTCCTCCGCCACCCTCGGCCTCACAAAAGTCAAAGACTCATGCGAGCGCATCCAGCACTACGGTCAGAAGAAGGACGAGTCCGGCACCGTCGACGTCAACGACGAGGCCCTCTGCCTCAAGCGCATCCGCGAGACGCTTAAGGAGGTCAAGGAGCAGTATGAGGAGGTTGAGGGCGTGTTGAGGAAGTTTTACGCGTAGGAGGACGGACGTGTCAATGAACCGAGTGATGGGACGGAAGGAAGAGGGGAGGGAGGACTTTATAAAGAGAGTTGGGGAAATGAAAGGGGAGCTTTTTTTGGGAGGGGGGAGGGGGACGCAGCGAGTGTGCTGCGGCGTTTCGCGCTGCCGAGGCTTATTCGGGATGGGCAGAGCGGCATTGGGGCCAGTGCTGGGGGTGGGCTCCTCTTATTTATGTGATGTGATGATGATGGTTGTCGGAGTGTTTTGGGGCGGAGGGCTTGGGGCTGGGGGGGGAGCGTAGTACACTAGCATGAGGTGTTTTTTTTTCTTCTTCGTTTTTGGGGAATGGGGAATGGGGAATGGGGAATGGGGAATGGGGAATGGGGAATGGGGAATGGGGAATGGGGAATGGGAGGTGGGGGGTGGTGGGTGAAAATATGGGATTCCAGCAAGGATGGGGGAGTGAGATACTGTGTAATGGGGTCTTGATGGGTTATGTGGTTTGTTGCGCTGTGTCGTCTCTCCCGACCGCTCTCGTGCGTGTACCGGCTTCCAAGGCACCTGCTTTACCCCGAGATCTCTACCATGCTATATCTAACTATCTACCTCACCCGTTCTATCCTTCTCCAACGGCGGTAAGAGGGGCGTCATAAATGCACGTGATTTATATTTCCATACCTCTCGATTTCCTGTTCGTTGAGGTTATAACCTTCCAACCTGCCCATACCCCGTTCTCCATCACTCACCACACTCTCCCCATCTAGGCAACAATACCAACGCTAGTAACGTATCGGGATTAACGGATATACCAGACGTCCACCCCTTGCCTCGAACTGCACGGTCCCGCATCCATCATCCACCACCTGACCTCCCTCCCCCCACGCAACCCCCACGCCCCACGCCCCACGCCCCACGCCCCTCCACCACCACCACCACCCTACATCGCCAGCACCACAGCATGGGGAACGATGATGGAGGTTTGGACAAAGGGGAATAATGTGTGGAGACAACTTGAGTTCTCGCCCTCCTCGTCCTCGTTTGGCAAGGCTGGGCTGTCCAAGGCTGCGGATGAGGAGGGGAGAAATGAGGGAGAGGATGAGGAGGGGGAGGAGAGGGAGCCACGCGATTTGGATGTGTATGGGAAGGTGTTTGAGGCAGAGGGGATGGAGTGGGTTAGGAGTGATGGGTTTGGGTGTATTGGTATGTTAGGGCTTTCTTTTGTTTGGGTTGCTGAGTGGGAGGCTGTTGATATCTCCTTGTTTGCTAGAACTTGCCCTCTATATTAGTGTCCACCCTGCCTGGTCTGGGCTGCGTCTAAAGCCACCAGCAGCACCGCTAACACTAAGCAGTGAAATACAACTCATCCTCCTACGCCATAGCGGGGTCGCCGACCCCGTTCCTCCTCCTCAGCCTCGAAGAGGGAAATGTGGGGCGGCATCAAAATGCGCTCGTGGAGAGGCATGCAGAAGCACTTAAGCGGAATGGGATGGATAAGGGATGGGCAGTTTCGGGGACGGGGATGGTCGTTGGTGAGTTGATTTGTATTTCCCGATTCGATTTCGTCGAGCTCTTCGGGTTCATATCTATCTCTCTATTTTCGGTCTCGCCGTGCGCTCTCCCATCCTCACCTCGATCCCCGCAACCCATCTAACACCCCCCAGACACAACAGGCACGCGCACCCAACTCCCCCTCTCCCTTTCCCACTCCCCCACAACCCTCACCTTTCCACCACCCCTCTCCCTCCCAGAAGACACCACACTAATAACCGCTGGCACAACCCACTTCGCCGCCCTCACCGCCAGCGGCATCCTCTACACCTGGGGCGACCCGCGCCATCCCTCACCCCTTGGCCGCCACTGCTCCTCCTCATCTTCCAACTCCTCCGATGATATGCCAGCCGATGAACCAGGCGTCGTAACCGCGCTGGAGGGTATACCAGGCGGCGGAGTCGTCAAGGTAGTCGCGGGTGGTTACGTGACAGCTGTGCTGACGGGGGAGGGGGGGTGTTATGTTACGGATGGTGGGACGGGGGAGGTTGAGTGTGTAGAGTTTGATGTTGTGGATGTGGCGGTTTGGGAAGGGGGGGTGGGGGTGTTGGATATGGAGGGGGGATGGTGGGTTAGGGGGTCAACAGAGAAGGGGAGTGAGGGGGGAGGAGATGAGGGCAAAGGAGAGGAGAGTGAGGGAGGGTGGAGAAGGGTTGATTTGAGTGGGGTTTTAGGGGAGGAAGGGAGGGTGAGAGAGGTGTTTGGGGGGGAAAAGGCGAGTTTTTTGGTTGTGGAGAGGGATGTGCGAGGACCGAGGCTACTATAACTATTTTGTAGGGATCTGTAAGATTTTGAAGCCGTGGAGTAGTACAGGTGGTAAGAGACGAGACGAAAAGGAGATCAATATGGACCTATCCTATGCCCCTTACTTGGGTCTGCGCGGCTATAAATACCCCAACCCAGCATCAAATCCCATCTATATACAATCTACTGTGACTATGGCCCCATATAGGTGGGACGGAGGCTGAAGCGGCAGGAAAGCGCAAACTTTTGGCCAAGGGAATCAATTTTTTTTTGCTGTGGAGCACGAAGCTAAGCGCAAGGCAACCAATGCCCAGACTCAAAAGCTCAGGCGGCGAGGAGAAGGAATAGCGGTGGCGGGAAGGAATCGCGGCGACAGGTCGTAGCGACAGGTCGTAGCGGCGACAGAAGAGACCAGCCTGGATCATCGTCGGCCACTCTTCTTTACCCCGGGAAGATGGCTTGTAGTCCGGTTCGTTTGAGGAGGATTTGCCTTCGTATGTCTTGGCGCCAGCATTCCTGAACGTTGATACAGCAGCTTCGAGGCCGTCGACCGTGGCGAGATTGCAATTGGAACCACCAGCAAAGACCGAACCAACGCAACGGGACAGCCACTTTCCTCAATGTTACGAAGCAGCCCAATAATTTACATTTTCCTTCTATGGCTGCCAATGCTGTCTCTCCAGGGGCCGGAAGCAGACGCGCGATGAGGCAGATCGAAGGCGCCATGAAAGGCGTCAAGGCGAGCTCACCAGCACAGAGAGTGCAAAGCTGATTGCTGGACCCTAACACGCGCTTCAAAGCACACAACATCCTACACGCCGTGCACCATCCATCAAGCAACCCCCAAAAAGCCATGCCTAATTCATTTGTGGATTTCGCTTGCTCTATCGTGATATTTCTATGATACATTTGTATTGTGCACCAATGTCACCAATTCAAAGTCCACTCACCCCACCCCTGCTCCCCCATCCCCAGACGCCATGGCAGCAGACCCGCCTCACAAGTTCGTGAGGTAGTCCTCAATCTCTTGCGGGCTGAGCTTGCGGAAGCGAGGGCCCTGTGCCCCCTCGACACCCTCAACGCCCATAAGGTGGTGTGCTGGCGGGCCAATGATACCTGTACATTACGTTAGCAACCGCTCTCGATCCTATCCATCCACGGCGGGAAGAGACATACCAATCTCAACTGTCTCTCCGTTCATCTCTCCCTCAATTGTCTCCTTCAGCGTCAACAGCGCGATGTGCACCGCGTCCTCAAGCTCCAAACCCTCCGTATACCTCTTCTCCAGGAACGTCTTTGCAGACGTCGCACTCTTGCCAATCGCCGTTGCCTTCCATGGGTAGTAACTCCCGCTCGGGTCGACCTGGTACAACATAGGTCCGCCCTTGAGGATGCCTCCCGTCTTGCCGCTTGGCTTTGGCCCCTCGGTTCCCGCGCCACCGCTCACATTGTCTGCCTCCACATCCGGCTCGATACCCTCGTCCCACCCAGCGACGAGCAGGCTGACACCGTATGGCCGCACGCCACCCGACTGGGTCGCCTCCTGCATGACGCGCGCGACGTCCTGGACGAGGATGCGCGTCGGCGGGTACTCGTTGTAGATACGCTTGTAGTTCGTGTGCGAAACCTTGCGCGCCTTGTCGACCAGCACGCGGTAGTCGGGACCCATGCCAGAGTAGACCATGCCGATGTTGGGGGTGATGAGGCTGACTTTTGAGAGGGAGGGGGGGTCGATCAGGGGTGAGGAGGACTTCTTTTCGGTCGCGAGGACGATGCCATTTGTTGCTTTGTAAGGGGTTAGATGGGGTTGGGTTGGTTGGGGGGGCAGGTGGACGTACCTTTGATTCCCAGTGCTGTTACACCTTGGTTGACGGCGTTTAAGGCATATTCTATGAATCGTGAGCACAGCTCACGGCTGGAGGGTTTCACCGGAAGATCGCCTATAGTTGAGCTTCATCTGAGACTGACCTATTTGAACGAGCTTCCCGCTGTAATTGTATTAGCTTGGTTCGCGGATAGACATGGATGGCTTGGAGCTCAACACGGTGATAGCTTACGTGGGCGAGAAGGTCGTGAGGGAGAAGGAGTATCTGTCCGCCATGGTTCCAATATCTGAAGCTTGGAGGAGAGTTGCGTAGATGGAGCTTCAAATGGGCGATCAATGCAGTTGTTGGGGTTGGAAGGTGATCGTGAGAATTGCTGGGATACACCGTTCGTTGCTCGAGGTAACTTAGCTTCACAGGCAGCTCTGCCTTGCGAATTCCGCGTCTGGAGTGACCGACGGCGCTAACGCGGCAACTCTAGCGAGACCACCACAACCACACTTCGATCTCGGACGCATTCCTCCATCCGACCGTACCACCATGTAAGGAACTTTGAATATCTGGCCTCAACCGTCGGTATTTCCTTACATTATTTTCTATTTCATAAAGTCATCGCCTTGGTTTTGACTAATGGACCTGCGAGTATCATCGCAGAGGCCACTATTGCCCGAATCCTTCTCTTAAATGTCTGTTGAATCCTGAGCTGGCAAAATCCAGCTGTTTTTCGACTTTTACAAGCTCAACACTATCGGTTGCCAACATGCCTGCACCACCATATGGGTCAGAGTCAACCTGGTCGTGGCCAGAGGAGGTAGTTGCCTATGATCTTTGCGATCAAGCTTCGCCGGAAAGTTCTTTCATTCAGAGAGACTTCCCTCGCGCAAAACAACCATCCGAGACGAAACCCGCACCTCAATCCCATGAGGGCGAGGCCAGCTCCAATGATCCTCCGAAGAAACAAAAATACTACGGTTCAAGGACTTGCAGGATTTGTCTGGAGGAAGTGCAGCCGTCATTCGAGACTGGTCCGGAAGGCCTCGCTGGCGTGGTCGCTCCAACTCCGACCGTGAAGTACGTGTCGGAAGATCCGGAATCCGGACGACTAATTCGACCATGCAAGTGCAAAGGATCACAGTCATATGTCCATGAAGGATGTCTACAGGGCTGGCGACACGCCGATCTATCATACGGACGACGCAATTACTTCGAATGCCCCACATGTAAATACACATACCGTCTGGAGAGGATGCGGTGGAGCAAGTGGATTGGCAGTACCATGACCCAAATTGTTCTCACTCTACTGATTCTTTGGGCCACCGTGTTCTTGCTTGGCTTCGTTGCGGAACCAATTGTCAAGCTATACTTGGATCCGGTGGCAACGTTGACTACCAACCCGTGGACAACATTCCGCGAACCCCTCTTAGAATTTGAGGAGGGTGAGGAATGGACGTGGTCTGAGCATCTCCTAAAGGGATTCGCGTCTTTAGGGCTATTAGGTCTCTTGAAATCCTTTATCATGTCCCCATTTCAGTGGCTGAATCTTAGGTGGGTGGTTGGAGGTGGTGGTAGAGCCAGAAGGGGAGGAACCGGGCGAGAGAGACTTCAGGATATCAGCGTATCGATGATTATCATTGGAGTCGCCACAATCCTATACGTAAGTTTGCCTGTACTCAGTGGACGTAATAAGACTAGCTGACACCGCACACAGGCAATTTGGAAAGGAGTCAGGGCCTGGAGCCGCAATACCCTTGAAAAAGCTGGTGAACGTGTGGTCGACGTACATGGAGAAGACGACGATGACGAAGAGCCAGATGCAGGCCCTGGTCATGCTGCCGAGTCTGGAAATGACAACACAAGACGGGAGCACTGGTGCAGCTACTGAAGCCGACTTAGATGACAAGAAGACTCTATAGCAGAAGCTCTCAATGCTATATATTATAAATGCCGCCAGTTATCTAGGCGTCGGACATATTTGCAACCAGTGACCATCACTGCACACAACTTAAGTTGGCACGAAGTCTCCTCTTCCATGGCGTGCCAACTAGTCTGTGTGCAAATATATAACGCTTTCTGGAGCCCTGAAGCCGGAGCGTCTTGTTCCACTTTCGCCGGGCGGCCGTCCGCAAGTCAACTCTATGCTGCATGTCCAGTTTGATCTCGAAAGGGAACGCTGACATTGCCTTCCTAGCCTTTGGAACTGTCCAGGCACGTACTGAAATGGAAGTTGAATGCAGACCCGTTGATATATACCATGTAAATAATGTACACTCTTTAGTCTCCGCAAAATATCAAGTTTTTATGGATATATTAGAATAACATGCATCTACTAACGAGCCGGGCAACCAGCGTATTTACCTTCTGCATGTTTTTTCAATGTTGGACGAGGCTGAGTTGGATTCCCTGTTGGCTATTACCCCACACAAGTGGTCTGTCCCACCTCTTGGCGCCATCTCACCCGCCAGCCTTCCCACTTCCAACACAACCTCCAAGCTGTTATTACTGCTGCCTTGCCGCACAAAATGGCTGCCCATCGGCGCATATATATCCTCTAGCTATACTTTTCTTCTCGAAATGCATACATTTATCGATAGACCATAGCAATAACCATCCATTCGCCCCCCCACACTCCCCAAAGATGAGCTCCCGCGATCGCAAACTCCGGAGTCAGTGTCCCCGTACATCTGAAGAAGCCAACACTACCTCTTGCCAACCTAACCAAACCAACCCACTAACTCCCACCACAGATATCCCCATGTTCCCCAAATCCCCCATCGCCACGCCGCCCCGCGCGGCCCTGCAGGGTCAGGGCCGCTCCCGCAGCGGCTCGGTCTCCAACAACGCAGCAACAAATTCACGCCCCTCCAGCCCCGAACCCCCCACCTCACAACCACCCTCGCAACCACCCTCGCAACCACCCTCGCAACCACCCTCACAACCTACATCCACCTCCCCCAGCGCCGCGCCCGCTCGTAACCCCTCCACCAAATCCACCACCGTCGACAAAGATGACCGCATCGCGCACCTCGAAGCCGACGCCGCGGTCATGGAAGGCACATTCGTGCAGGAGCTCGAGCACCTCTCTGCCAAGCTGGGCCACCAGGCTGAAGTCGCCCACTTCTGGCAGCTAAAATACAGCAGTCTACATGTCGCACACGGGGCTCTCGAGGTGCGTCTTGCGGACTGTAGGGCTGAGATAGAGGAGCGCGCGCGCGAGCTAGACGAGCGGGAGGATCGCGAGAGGGACTCCACAACGCGCATATCGAGCTTGCTGATTGAGCGCGAGGCGCTACGCGAGGGGTTTGCAGGAGCGCGGCGCGAGGCACAAGGCAGAGAGTCGGAGGTGGAGGGGCTGCGAGCGCATGTGCGGGGGCTGAAGGAGTTCGTCTCGACGAGTGGGAGGTCGGAGGGGCAGGTCACGGATGAGGTTATCCCGGAAGGCTTCTCGGCACTCGGGAGCGGGCTGCAGAATTGGGTGTTGAGGAATTTTAGGCGGGCGAAGATGGATGTTAAGGGGGCAGGCGAGGGGACGAGGGAGAAGCTTGAGGAGCTGTGTCCGTTGTGGGAGGGGCTTGCGGGGACGGCGAAGGTGCATCTTATACAGAGTATTGTGTCGATGCTGCTTGTGAAACGGGTGTTTCAGAGGTACTTCGTCGGACTGCCTGAAGAAAGGGAGAAGGAATTGATAGGGTTCGAAGCATGGTTGGCAACGACATCAGGGAATGGAGGGGACATGAACCAGTGGCGCTCGTCTACATTAGGGCTCATTAATAAAAAGGGCTCGCTGGATAATCTACGCGTTAAGACGGAAGAGGTTGCGGCATCTGTGGTTAGAGAAGCCATGGCTATTTTAGAGGATATTACGGATGTTCTGCAGGACGGGGGGAGGGAAGTGGCATTGCGAGCACTGGTCGTCGAGGCCATTACCCTATCGAGGATGCTCAGGGTGCAGAAGGCGAGTTTTAAGCTAATCATGACGGTTGTTGAAGGCCATCAGATCAATATATTCGATGCCGAAACCATGGATGATATAGGTGGGGAGGACGAAGAGACATTAGAAGGTAGAGATATCCTCTGCATGACGTTTCCTGGGATCCTGAAAGAGGGAGATGAGAATGGACAGCGCATGCAGCTTCGGAATATCATTGCTAGAGCGAAGGTTCTCTGCTCACCAGACTAAAATCTTAGGCAACACAAATCTCTAGCACGACTATAAATACTGTGGATTATGTGTTATGAGCTGTGTTGTGTGTCGTTGAACTATATATTTAAGCTAGCCGAGAGAGCCAACGGCAAAGGATGTGTCGGGGCGGGCCGCCCAGAGTTCTAAGTATAGCCCAGCCCGTAGTAACAGAACGTCATGGGAACATATTTCACAGAGTATACCCCCCGTTCCTTCATTTCAGAGTACAGTGTGATGGTGCTGCGATGGATGGTACGGACCGTTAAACTGCTCACCACACGACTCTTCATGTAAGGGGGTGTTGAAGAAAATGGTGCCGCGGAGATAGACGATACCAAAAATATGAGACTTGAAAGAAAACTATACGAGAGACCTACATAAGCCGCGGATTTATTTTCAGTCCTATTTATGATTCTCATGACAAACCCCCAATTCTTCAAGACATAGGCCAGGAGGAGGCATGAATGTCGTCCAATTGTAGGCACTTCAATTCTAACGTTTCGAACCTGGTCAGGCTGAATATTTGGGGGCTGAGGGATCGTGAGACCCTATAAAAACGCACTCGGAACTTGTGAAACCACATGGTGATGCTGCATGAATTAGCTTCTTGGGAAGCTGCGATGATTTCCGAGGACCATCGCTCTGTTTCTATAGTTTGTGTACTGGGAGATATTTTCCTGCTCGGTTGTACTCCAAACGAGACGGGCACCCGCATCAGAGCTGCATTATCGTGCGAAACAGGTAATACTCTTCAGGTGGGCTTGAACAGCGAAATATTGCAATGCTGCCATGGCCTCTGCAGGATGTCGGCGTCGTGTCTCATGTTTGCGTATCGTAAGCTCAATGGTTTGGTGGGGGGTTGATCTTGCGACAGTTAAATTTGTAATTTGAAGCATGGGTTGTCGTGTCGTGGCGGCATAAAGACCGTGCGTCCCAAGTGGCGGTTGTCCGATGCGATCTTCCAAACATTAGATAAGATAATTATCCACCATCGAAATATTTTGGCAGGTCCAAACCGTTGACATTATATTCATCGCGGTCCATCGTGACCTTTCCCTTGCTCGCGAACACAGCGCATAAGTGCCACAGTGGTGAACTGGTCCTATTGGGACGTCGTCAGCGAGCAACATCGACACCCCACCTGCAACCAACCTGACGAACACCCGTCGGCACAGGACGTCGAGCTCTCTTTTATGCGACAAAACTGGAGGTTTTGGTCGCTGCCCACCCGAACAGAACTGCTGCATTATCTCTGATCCTCACTTGTGTCCCAACTTCGTTGCATCGGTCGATATAATGGCCGGTTATAGTATCGACAGGTTCGTTCAGGACCAAGACACACCTCGTGCCATCGGGCAACCGCGACTATCGCTGGCGGCCAGTCGACAGGACACATCCGATGCAATTATCACCCAACCTGTGCCGACTGCTGTTCACGCCCATGTTCGTGAGTCATGCAAGTCGCCGCCAACATCGCCATCTTCAGTGACAGGCTCGACCGTGCTGTCAAGATCCAACACCGGCTTCAGCACATTCTCAAAATCATCAGCTGCATCTGAAGCAACTAGCTTATCGACAGCTCCGAGTATTGATTTGAATCACCCCGAGCTTATTCACGACCAGCACATTCTCAACATGTCGATCGACGGTTCGAACCTTCCGTGCCTTTTTCGATACATCATACCAGACTGTCAGCATATGAATTTCGATGATTCTGAGAGCTGGTCCGAACATGTTATTGAGCATTTCGGCCCAAGCAGACCACCACCTCACGCCCTGTGCGTCTTCTGCAACACATCATTCGAAGATGACAACGCTATGGCCTGCTGGAACAAATACCTGGAGCATGTAAAGGAGCATTTCGAAAGCGGTACAACCTTGGAACTCCGCCCAGACTTTGGGGTCTTGAAATACCTGCGGGACAAGGCGATTATAACTGAGGATGATTATGCCGTCTTCTGCCGCGACGGGTCAGAGCGACCGAAGGTATTTGGGTTGATCCCACTGGATTGCGAACCAGAAGAAATAGTTGCGAAGAAGCAAGCAGAGGAAGCTGCTTCGAACCGTATCATCGTTTCTGATCCCCGTCGGAGACGAGATCAACAACGTTCGCCAAGAGGGAAGAAGGCTTCATCGACAGTGATTCATTCCCGAACTGAAACTTTTTGAATGAGGAAGGAAGTGGAATAAATAAGAAAGGAACACGATGTGAGAGCAACTGGGTGGGGCGTGCATAAAACGCGTTGAGCTGAAATAGGTGGCCGATAGGCCGTGCGGCAAGTTCCAACGCGGTGGCGAGTCCACGCGTGATGATGGGAGGTCTATCAGGGTCCAGGTTCTTGAACGATTTGATGATATTAGTATGACTGGTATTACCCAAAAGTACATGGCGTTGTTGCCATCGCTCAGGGTAGCCATGCGGTTGGAAAAGTGTGGTATCTGGTTGTATTTTTTTGGGGGCGTTGAAGCAATGCATTTTATCTGTTGATACTTGTTTTAAAACTCGACACCCTTTCGAAGTTGGAAATGGGGGGCTCCACAATGACCCAGGTGCTAGCCTGGGGCGAGGATATTGCTGTGGTCTCTCGGTGATGTTGCTGTTGACGGCGGATGATAGTGGGAAACTGAGAAAGAAGTAGCTGGTCTTTTATGTCTTTTCAATAATCTCCTTCGAGGAAAGTGTTACCAATGATAACTGTTTTACTCATGCTATGCGTGGTCTTTTGACTATATTCCGTCTGTTTGTGGTAAAATCTTGTGTGGTTTTCGTTGTGGAATGTTGTCTCTGCCCTTCCTAGTCCACGTCAGTCAATCAAGGGGTTGAGTCGTGCAACGGGTTGTCTTCTTCGGTGAGCCTGCCTTTTTCTGTGACTCGTGGATGCTTCGAGGTGTCATTCCCTTCTTCGAGATGCCGCCAGACTCCTCCGCATTCCTGGGACGGCGCCATATTTTGGGATATCCGTCACAGTTTTATATATTGCACGGTCCCAGCCTTGTCGGAGCCGTCTGAGGACAACGCAGGAGCTATATCCCTCGCGTTCATAACGACAGACCTGAATCAGGAAGTGTATATTCGTTATTGCAGTCTGTTATCTGCTCGGAGGAATTTCGTTGAGTGGCCGATGACGTTAAGGTCAGGCATATCGAAGTCTATCATCTTCGCCCAACGCCAGTTGCCCATTTCCTGGATATCTGACTGTGATTCAGGATCACATTGAGAACCAAAGCTCGTCGTCTGAAATCCACAACTTTCGGATATCATAACCTAATCTGGCTGAGCCCAATGGATTTGCCAGGCTTGCCCACTCGACGCCAGACAGAGGATATATGCGAAGGGTAATATATCAACATCGCTCGACGGATATATCTCAACTGAGATGGCAGAAGCAGCAAAGGAGGAATATATCAGTTCTTTGCATCTTGAGGTATGCATTTGTAAGAACTGGTCAGATTGAACCAAATGAGATAAGTGATAATCAACAGTGCCCAACCTTGTTTCAATGCTCTGGCTTCATATGACGATGGGAAAGCAACGTAAAGTAACGGGAGCCAATCAATAGAATATCCCCACTCACTTTATAGCATCTTGCTATATAAAGCATCTCTGATCCAATCCTATTGCTCCAGCTCTTTGTTTTCGACAGTTATTTATTGGTGGTCGTGTTGTTGGCATTTTGACCCGAGCCCTATGAGCCAGCACTCCCTCGGCGGCCCCAGCCATCTTATGATTTTCCCTTAGCGAGTCATACCCTGCGGTCATGCCATGACCCTAATCCTCGCCACTGGGGCGCAGGTTACCCGCCCCGCTCCAGCCAGACGTTCCTTCCCGATTCTAATATCAGAGCCGATTGACTCACCGCCGGGAGCAATATTTGAATTTATCAAAACTATAATCCCGCAACCCCCGGAGAACTCGTCATCTACTGTATGCGAAGACCGGCGATTCCGGAGGCATCGAGCGCTCAGATGATAGGCTGCGACACCCTCCACATCCGCTATGGATGTCACGTCACCAGCCTGGTTCGCCTTGCCAGCGCCGTTCGCCCTGCAGTTGGCAAGCTGTGCAGTAACATCGGCCCAACATGATCCGCTTTGTCCTTCTGTGGCAGGAGCAGAATCATACCTAAAACGGCACTTTCTTCCCTAGATGGCCAGAGTGACAGGTTTCCATTAGGTCACCGAGTTGGCATGACTCCGAGATCCGAAGTCCCAACTCAAAGCCTCGAGTTTCTCACTTGGACGATCCACACCCAATGGCCAATCCAGCAGTCGCCACCGACTGAGGCGAGTACGAGGAGTTAGAACCCAGCCTTCGTGGCGGTAGCTACAAATAGATAGGTTCTGGAAGCTCATAATTGGCTGAATCCACCTCGGTGTATGTTGAGCTATCTTCAACGTTGTCCCAGCCCCAGTTTCACTCAAACATAACCATATATATCATAGAAACCCCTCTCGAAGGAATATCCCTCTCCGAAGGACAACCCGCGAAGGACAACCCGGTGATCCGGCTACTCTACTCGATCATGCCACAAGATGATCCCACGTCAAAAGTGTGCATGTCATGAAGTTTCCACTCACTATCCGAGGCATACCCGTTTGGGACGTGTGCACCCCTCAGCAAACTTATAAAATGAGGTCCCGCTATGGAGAATAGGCAGCAGCTTCAAGGAATTAACACCGCGGTCCACAATTATTACAGCTCACAGCATTATGTGTCCACGTACCACGCTCTTAAGCCATGGCACACTCGTAACCTAATCGCGTTGGGCTGGTGGCTATCGACGAGTGCCTCCAAGGAGCTTCCATGACCATCAAGAGCCCAGCTGTTACCCATAGTCCTATAAAATCCCATCTCCAAACACCAACGAAATCCACACGTTATATACGTTAGGAATTTATTTCTCATATAAATATCCCATCCAATCCATGCATATATCCTGTCCAGCATTACCCAACTATCCATCATGTATATTTAACCTCCTCTCAACCCCCTTAGTGAAATTCCGCAACAACACTCCCATATCTCACCCCATCAACCTCTAACATGAACCCCAACCCCGCACTCCCCACCACCATCTCGAGCGTGAAATCGAGGTTGTCGAACTCGACCCCCCTCGTCGTCGTTAACCGCGTGAACAAGCTCTTGGGCACAGCTCCCAGATCCGTCGTCAGGGTGCACACGTTGATCAGATCGCGGGAGTAGGCACCTGGCGGGGTTGTCTCGTCACATGCGATCAGATCATCGGAGACTATGAGGGATTGCCCGGGACGGAAGTTGCGCGTGTAGTGGAAGGAGATGGGTGTTATTGGAGAGAGATCCTCGCCCTGGTGTGAAGTTAGCCAAGTGCTCTCATGGGAACTCAAAAGGGGAACGAGGCAAGAAACATACCTTGGAAATATGCCACTGCATCCGATCACTAACCATCCACCGCTCCCACAACGGACTCCAATACCTCTCCCCAACAGCATGTTTATCCTCATCATATACCGTCGCATAGCTCGTCCCATAATGATACCTACTTTTCCTCGACACGACCATGCTCCCCTCGAGCCCCCTGAGCACCGCCCCCCTCACCACCGCCGTCCACGCATACACCGGCTGCATCACCTCAACCGACCCATTATTCACCATATCGTTTGCCTGCGCGTGCGTTGGCCTCTCACTATATGGCGGCGGCGCCGTGGTGTTGAAGTTCGCCTTCAAGCGCTTGTATAAGTAATCGCTCTGTCCGAACCCTCCCACTAAAACGATCCCCGACACGATCCCGCCCTTCGCGCGGATCCCTGAAACCTGTCCCTGCACGAGATCACACACCTCCTTCACGACCGGTTCGAAGATATCCTTCACCTGCGCCGCCGTCATGACGAGGAACCCGCAGTCAATCCCCGCCTCCTCGTCATCCGGCAATCCCGGGAAGGGGATATTAACCTCCCCATGCTCCTCCTCGTTGAAGTTGCGCTTGACGAACTCCTCAAAGTATTTCAGTCCCATCTGCCACGTCTTCTGCTTCTTCGCCTTCATCTCGTCAAACGCCGCCGCGCCCACACGCTCACGCACATGCTCCTCAAACCGATAATTCAGGAACGCACTCCCGCACAGCCCGCCCGTGCCAACCGCCGACTCCTCCACCCGCAGTGGCTTCAAAGACATGATTTTATACGCAATCAAATCCACCGTCCCACCACCCGCATCGCACACAACAAAGTTATCCCCCACCGACAAATGATTCGGCTGGATCGTCTTGAGCGCATACACCGCGGCCGCCTCCGGCTCGGAAATCATCTGAATCTCCTCCTTCGATCCCATCCCCGCCTTCTCAGCCGCGAGCAGCGTCGTGTTCTTAGCTGCGTCAGACCACACCGCGGGGCACGTCAGCACGAACTCCACCTTCGTGGTGCTCATAAACGCGTCCCCGTACCGCCGCGCAAGCGTGTCCATAGTGTGTTTGTAGATCTCAGTCAGGTAATCGCTAACCGCATCAACGACAGTCTTATTGTGCTTCTTGAGCTGCGTCGCTGTCTCCTTCGGCGACACGTAGAAGGGGAGCTTCTGGCTCCGGTCGAGGAATAGCTTCATGCAGCGTAGTCGCGGCTCTTCGGGCTTGAACATGAAGCCCCATCGCGGCTTGATCGTGTCTTCGCCGCTTTCTGTTGCGGAGCGGAGGGCGACGTAGGAGATCTCGGTGGGCACTTTGTCAGAGGTGATGCCGTTTCCGCCGGGCCAGGTCTTGATGATCTCTACGTCGTCGGGCGTGGATGTATATACCGTCGCGACACTGTAAACCTATTAGCCTCCATCTCCACCATCTCCTCCCCCCTTCCAATGCCCCTCCCGCCACCCCCAGACAGAAAACTCACCCCGAATACGTAGTCCCAAAATCAACCCCCACAATCAACCGATCATTCATCGGCGCCACCTCCCTCACCGGCCCCGCAATCGCCTCCGCCTCCGACTGCGCTGATGTCCGCACCGGCATCCGGTACTGTGGTGCCCCGTTGCCACCCCCGATATTCGCCCCCGCGGCAGCAGTAGTAGAGGGGGATGATGATGCGAAGAAGGGGCGCGCGCGGTCGCCGACGCTGCCGATCCCGCTACTGGTCGCGCTGTTGCTGTTGATGATGCTGTTGTTGCTGTCGCCGCGCCCGTTGGCGGGGCGGAGGGGAAGGTCGATGTTCATTGCTGATGCTGTGGGTGCGGATGCAACTGGTGCGTGCGGTGTGTGTCGTGGGGAGTGAGGCGGGGTTGCGCTGGCTATCGAGTGCGAGTCCTGATATCGTCCTCGCTCGTCGTCGCTTTCAAATCGCAATTAATCCTAAAGGCCACATTCAAACCCGCGATTGAACGATCTCGTCCTCACACTCAAATCAACACCGCGCGCTCACTGCTCTGCTCTTCTCGGGCTGGTAGGTAACGGTACACAAAATGGCTGCCTCGCCGTCTCCAACGCAGCCTCGTGCGTGGGTACATACACCGGCGATGCAGCCTCGCGGGGTCGGCTAGGCACCAGGGCGAAGGTCTTGGCGTCCGTGGTGCGGCTGCGGTTGTGGTTGTGGTGGAGCGGCGGGGTGGGGTCGGGATGGGTCTAAGATGTGAGAGATGAGATGAAAGGGGTCGAAATATGATCAATCCATTCTTTGGAACGAGGGTTCAAGTAAGGGTCTCGCGGGTACTTCCCGCGGTCGCCGCTCGGTATGAATCGTGGGTTTGTGCGTGCTCCGCCTCATGCATGCTTACCCTTGCGGGGAGGAAGGGGTGCGTTTTCTTCGGGGGTCCTGCAGCCATTCCGATGTGGATTGAAGATGAGCTGTCACTTCAGCGTCAGAAACGCTGTCTTGGTATCCTAGTTTTTAGATGTGATGCGAGTCGCGTCGAAACACCTCAAATTTTCACACAAGAATTGTCCGTCAGTGGTGGAAGAGCCATAATAGTTTATGGCTAGTCGAATTTATCCATCGTTTCCATCTCTCTCTCAGAACTATTATTAAGTATACTTTATTTCCCAGATCCCGTCTAAATACAACCCGATCCCTCGTCCTCTTCTCCCGTAACGCGAAGAATAAAAAAACGGAATCCATCTCAAAAAAAGCCCATTCCCATATAGTAACAAGAGGCCCCTCCTCCTTCGTCCCCATAAAATAACAGCAGTGGCAGAGCAGAGCAGTCTGTCTCTCTTTCTCTCTCTCGCCGCCGTCGCGCCACCATCCCAGCTGTGCTATGCGTGGTGGCTGTATTACAAAGGAAATAGTTGTATGTGGTGTGTACTCAAAGCACGTAGTAAACGGTCATGGTGGGTATGGTATCCCCATCCACGCCTTCCAAAAGTAAAAAGTGAGCATAAAAAAAAGCTCTTAAATCCGCTTCGCTAGCTCGCAGACTCTGTCTGAAGTGAACCGAAAAAAATGAAATGCGTATAGGAGGTAAATGAACGCCGGTCTCGGTTTGGTCGCAGCTCCGAGATGCATTGGTGGTGTGAACCAGAACGAGTTAAAAGACAAATAAAAAATCGGCGGAAGACGCGCGATCGAGTGCAGTGATGCTGTCGCGGTTTTCCCTTGTATCCCCCTTAACGCCTTGCGAGTTTCTTCTTTTGTCACTTAGCACAAATATACAGGTGGTTGTTGGTAGTGTGGTTCGGTGTGGTTGAGTGAGTTGAGTGATTGATTGATTGTGTGTGTGGTGGTGAGTTTGCTTCATTCAGAAGCGGTTGCCTGCCTGCCAGATACTAGCAGCCATCGAATTCGACCAGTCATTCCCCTCATACGGTGGCGTCGGCCACTTGTGCCTGGCATCATTATCGTCCCTCGGTGTGTTACTCTTGAGCGTCTGGTTGCTACGGACAGGGGCATCGGCGTAGAATAGTGCCGCGTTGCCGTTGGCAGTCGGGGAGGGTGTAGGGTAGGGGTTCAGCACGGCGGGCTTGCTCTGTGATTGCCGCAGGGGCTTGCGCTCGAGGTCAGCGTTGCCGCCCTTTTGGATATATTCGGTCAGGGAGTTGCGGTCCATACGCCTAATCGCTTTGTTGGCGGATGTCAGGGCCTCGTCGAGGAGTTCATCTTCCTCATCCGGGACATCGTACTGGCGGGTTCCGCCGTGTGCCTGTGCCCTCCTGGTCCTGCTCGACACTGGTCCGCCGCTGCGGGCAGCCCCAATCAGGTTATCCACTGAGCGAGTCTGGGGTTGCTGGTTTAGGGAGTGGTGGCGCTTGAGGATCGTGCTGGGGCTGATTTGGTGAGCTGGTGGCATAGGCGCCGAGGCTTGTGATGGCGATTCCAGATTATTTTGAACAGCACGCAGGGCCTTGTCTAGCGCCTCGTGCGTGTCCACCTTGTACGAGGGCGTTGGGAGCTGGGTAGGATCCATAACCATCGATGATCTGTTGCTCTGCCATGGGCCACAGCCTACCTGCGCCTCGACGTCATCTGCCGTTGGTGACATGGGAGTCTGATGGCGACCTGAGAACCTCTTTGCCCGCTTGCGAAGGTGCGAGAAGAAACTCTCCTTCTGGCCGCTTGGGGGAGATATGAGTCCACTGTTACCGTTAAGAGCTCGCTCTGCCTGCTGTCGGTGCGCTTCGGCATCGTAGTGGTTGTTAGATGTGACCGAGAGTTGGCGGCCAATCTTCTGGCTGGCCTTATCGGCAGCAGACTCTCGCTGGCCAGCAAAGGATGCCGTCCTAGAAGTACCTTGTGCGGTAACTGCATCGGATAGCGGGGAGATGGGTTTGATGGAGGGGAGTATCGGCATTGGCGCGGCGTTCGACGGGCTGTTGGACCAGGTCGAGCGCTTGGTGGGTTGTGGACGCGCCTTGACGGGGGCGGTGTCGTTCATGATTTGTGGGTGTACTGGTAATGGGCGAGGGGCGACATTTTCCTTGCCAGAGTTGGGCTGCGACGAAGCAGTCGAGTTTTCCGACCGTCCGATCAGGGACTTCCTGAACCAGGAAGGCTTGGATGAGGTTAGGGTCTCGGTTGAGAAGTCCCTCGAACCACGGTAGCTCAGATCCGACTGTTTGCGACCAAGCATCCTCGACGCCGAGGACTTGGGTCGTAGAGGATCCACGGCATCGTTAAAATACTCGTGCGCCAGTGCCTCCCTCGACGTCGGGCGGGCCTTTGCATCCCACATCAGACACCACGTGACGAAATGGGCGAGAGGAGCTGGCCATTGTGGTGCTTGAAGAATCGTATCCATCGCGTGGGGAGCCATCTTTGGGAAAGAGAAACCAAGTTTGCCAGCAAGCCTTGCGCCCTCTTTCCATTCACCCCCGCCGACCTTTGTGCCATTCTTGCTGTACCAGTTCCCGGGGCTTCCCATGATCTCACACACCCTCCAGACCTGGTCGACCTCGTTTCCGCCGGGGAAGAGTGGCTTCAGTGTCGCGATTTCAACTGCCATCGCACCAATTGCCCAAATATCCACGGGAGCGGAGTATTCTCCTGCCCTCAACAGCACTTCCGGTGCGCGATACCATCGAGTAGAGACGTATGTGGTGTAGGGGAGTTTGGAGTGAGTCTCGCGAGCGAGACCAAAGTCGGCGATCTTTACTGTGTATGTTGGTGGCGTAGATGGCGGTGTGACGAGCGCCGAGTATCGCCTGAAGCTGTTGGAGGATTCTTGCTGTCCTGATGTTGAGACGAGAATGTTCTCTGGCTTGATATCGCGATGGAAGAATTGGTGGTCGTGGATGTGCTCGAGTCCTTGCATGATCTGGAAAAGAATGCTCTTAACACTGCCGCCGTCCAGACACTTGTGGTCCCGAGCCTTCATCAGTTGATAGAGATTGCCCTCCATATACTCCATACAGATATGGAGCTTCTTGGTGAAAGGGTCGAGGAAGATATCCAACGCAGGGACGAGGTGAACGTGAGGTGGAAGTGTCCTCAAGAAAATGACTTCGCGTAGTTCTAGGCAAGGGGCGAACGACTCAAAGTTCTTCTTCATCGTCTTGATCGCAATCTATAAATCGTCAGCAAATTGAACGACCTCGAAACCTCCATTGTTCTGGCCCAACTTACCACTGTTCCACGTCTCGCAACGCTGGCGCCAGCACCACGTACGCGTGCCAGAACGACACTCCCAAAACTTCCATCACCAATGTCCTTCAGCACCTCGAAGCGGTCCTCCAGCGCCTGCCCATTGTTCGTAGTCAAGTGCGAGGAGTGCCCGCGGTGGAGAACGTCAGCGAGAGTCATCGTGACGAGACTGAAGCAAGGGGCGGTCAGCCTCCTCCTTTACAATGCGATTGCTGGAGAAGGTTTGGGACTCGCACTATTTCAAGTTCGACCTGCTCTTTGGGAGAGCAGCGAGAGTTAGCGGGGCATTCAGGATCGAGTAGGGAGATGAGGAGCGAGTTTCGTTTGGTCGGGTGAAGCTGCGTGAAGGTGAAAATTGTCAGTGATTTGACAAAGCCTTCAGCAAAAGGAAGTGTTGACAATGGGATTGTATGGTCAAGTTCCAAAGGAACTGGGAGGTGCTGACAGTATAGGGTGAAATTGGCCCAAGTTGGGTGGACTAGGGGGAGTACCCGTTGAGTTCCCGCGAGGGTGGTTTTTTATGGATCCCAGCTTGGAGACCCACAACCACTGAATATCCTTCGTACTATGCTTCGTACTATGGGATGGCGTGAAGATAGTGGCTTTTTTGGGTGACTTTTTGAATGGGGGAAGCCAGTGACAGGAGGCAGTGCAGCAGACGGCTGTTGGTGGGTGAATATTTGCCGCGACACGGAACGAGACCGGAGGGCGATTGATGCAGTCCAGAGCAGTCACGGCGGCGTGTATATGTATATGTATATGTATATGTATATGTATATGTATATGTATATGTATGGTACAGTATGATCATAGCCCCCCGAGGAGAAAGGTAGGTGGTTGGTCGGTGTGCTGTATAAAATGGCCAATTTCGCTAAGTTTCAGCGATTATGCCAGGCCACGCTCTTTTTTGTCGCCGCCGCCTTTGATTGGGGAATGCGGGAGAGAGTACGTAGAGGGCCGTGGAATCAGGAAACTTTGTCTGTGGCAGTGGTGAGGAGAGTGCAGTATTATTACTCCGTATGTACTGTCGGCAGGAATAGCGAGCAGAGAGTGGCGAGTGAATGCAAGTAGAAGGTCAGTACGTCAGTACGAAGCACTCGCAGCATTTGATACACGGAACCAACGAGGAGGAGCGGGCTGGGTCGGACGCGATTAGAGTAAGCAGAGATTGCAAGAGGGAGGTCCTTGCTTTGGGATGTTTGGTAACTTGATGAACGGCGGACTTGCTTGATCGAGCCTGTCCATATCTATAGTATTTGTAGATTGCAGAACTTACCGGAGAGGGGAATGAGGGAATGCAGATGGATGAGCTGCATGAGCCATAAGCAGACAGTCGTGGCACGTCCAGGGCGATGACAGTCACCTCTTCCCCTCAACTTTCTCCCTAACATTCCCCCGAACTTTCCCCCTTGCGAAACCCAACTGAATTGGATCCTATGGTGGTGTGTGAACCCGGCCTGAATCAGACGAGAAGCACGTTGTACACCACCGCCGTCGAAAAAAGACCCTGTTGCCACTGATCCACCGCAATTCCAAGGCGCAAGGAACAGCTTGTACCACAAACATGCAACGGGAAAATGGCCAGAGTAGATGATCCATCAGACCACCACCATCGCAAAATTACGGATCCAGCACATTACGGCTACCCCTGAATTAAGAGCACACGCAAAACCCGCCGCCCGTCCGTCGTGGGTCCCTCCCCCCTTCCCACTTGCGGGGATGACCTAATCGCGCCCCCTCGACCGCTTCCAGCACTAGCCCCCGTAGAATGCTCCGTGGCTCCGTCCATAGACCAACCACAGCCGAGTGTCCGCGCCGCGGGATCCACTTCGGTGGGCGCGGGACCCTTGCCTGCTGGTCGCGTCGCGGCGGGTCGTGGACTAATGGGGCTAGCTAGGTCTGGCGGATGGCCGGTAGGGGGGACGAGGGGGGACGGGGCGAGGAGGATGTGTGCGTGCGGCGTGCGGCGTGCGGCTTGCGGCGTGCGGCGTGCGGCGTGCGGCGTGCGGCGTGCGGCGAGATGCGACGTGTAACTTGACTTGTCGGTTTGCGAGGACGACGCGTGCGAATGGTGGTTTGCAGGTGAGGTCTGTCGTTTTGATAGGGGTCTGTAAGTTGTGATAGAAGTTGGTTTTGCCATGGTTGGGAAGTGATCGGGTTTGTCGGCGGGATCCATAGTGAAATGGTTGGTCGCATGTGGTACTCTACTGGGGATGGCGGTGGTACTCGAGTAGTGGGTTGCCATTCGTTGCTTAGTAAGCTGACATTTGTGCACAATTGGCAGTTGCTTAGTAAGCTGACGTTTGTGCACAATTGGCAGTTGCTTGTATTGCAGTCGTTCCTTATAGTTGTTGTTTATTTTGGCAGCCGTTCCTTCCAAGGGAATTTGTTGTTTAGTTTTGGCAGTCGTTCCTTCCGAGTATAGTTGATGGTTTGAATGCCAGTCGTTCCTTCTTATGGCGGTCGTTCCTTCCCAAGACAGTCTTTGCCCTGTACAGCAGTGGTTCTTTCCTCGGTCAGATGTTCCTGCTCAAGTCGGTCCTTTCTCGAGTAGTTGTTCTTCTGCCAACATCATCAACACGTCAACAACAGCAACAGCAACAGCAACAGCATGGCAATGGCAATGGCAATGGCAATCACTTCAGAATCGCTGACAATAGTAGGACGGGGCCTATAACCTGTTCAACTTCCTCTGTGTCTGAAAACTTATCAATATATGAGTTGAAAATAAGTTTATTCCATCAACTATCACACCAAAGAATAGTCTCCATTCACATTCAACAGTCCATACACTCTTTTTTCCTTGCTTTGTCCTCATGCTTTCACCCTGCATATTCTCTCTATGTCTTATTTTGTCCTCATATGCTTTTCACCGGAGAAGGAAGTCTCTGTCTCTGCTCTTGATCTCCATCTCTTGTCCTAGAGAGACAGTGACCAAAGCAAGATGTTGACTTGAGCACTTGTCGCATTATCTAAGATAGCTGTCTTGTCAATAAGCGTCTGGATTCCGCGACACTCTGCGGCATGACCGTCTGTCGCCTGAGGCAGTCGATGTTTTACAAAGGGCTTTGCCCACCTACATTTGTTCTTGACTTTCTGTTCTGTCCCACAACTGTCTCTATTTTACAGCCATGCTCAATGTTTTACAAATTCACTAGGTTTACTACCTACTAACACTAGAGTACCTACTACAACTAGAGTAGCCTGGCCCACCGTTGTCGTCGTGCCTCGATACTTTTATCAAAACAAGGTCAGTTGTTTGCACGTCAATATATGCTACATTTTAAACTAACAATCAAGCAAACAAGTGAAATCTTCCCCGTCTTGAACAACTGAGATCAACATGTCGACCTTCAACTGGAACGAGAAGTAAGCTATCCCTCCCCTGTATCACAACCGACAATAGAGCAGGTCCTAACAAAAAGCCGATTTAGCCTCAACAACAAAGGAAAAGGCATCGATCTGCCTGCTACGTAAGTTCCCTCTCACTCCCCTTCAAGACACCGCCGATCTAACCGCTTCCCAGATTTAAGTGCCGTATTTGTAGCAAGGTGAAGCCAGCTACAAATGACCATTTTTCCAAGAAAGAGCTGAAGGTATACACTTCGAGGATTGCAATGAGGAGGTCTGTTACTGGCTTCAGTGCCAACTTACGTTGCCGGCATTGTTCTGGGGAGAACGTTTTCGAGCTTCTCTGCCAGTATTGCCACGTTACGAAGGCCAAAGATGACTTCTCCTACAACCAGCGCACCGCCGCACTGTCCGCTGTAAGTACCCCGGCACAAGCAACTCCCTCTCACAATGCAATGCTAATCTATAGCAGCGCTGCAAGGCCTGTGTGAATTGGCAGGAAACCAACGAGCCTGGCACGGAAACCCTCCCTGGCCCCAGCATGGCGCTCCACCCCGACACTACCCTCGCTGCTGCTTCAAACAGCTCGAACCCAGGCAATGCACTGTCTGTGTTGGTGACTTCCACGGCCCAGGCCGCTGATGACGGCGATGAGGTATGTCGCCCTCCCCTCCCAACCATCATTAACACCAACTAATCCACCTCCCCTAGAGCTCCTCTGTCTGGCGCACGACGCTTGCCAGCAACAATACAGTAGCCAACCTCACCAACGTCTCTGCTAGGCGCACCACCACAAGGCCTTCAGTGGTCGAGATTGACCTTCCTTCTGCCCCTGAAGGTTTTATGGCGCCCACCAGGATGACGTACCGCGGCGACGATGTGCCCTCTGAGTCCACGACAAGCAACCACTACGGCCGCCCCAGCACTCCTGTCTCCGCTGCTACTAATATTTTTGCCCTATTTGATCCATTTGCCCGTCGTGGCAGCAAGGCCGGCAAGCATAATGCCGGTGGTTCTGGGGATGCTGTCTCAACTTCTACTGATTCCGATTCTGTCGCCGATGGTCCTCCTGGCGATATGAGAACGACGCCCACGCAGAAAACGCCCACGAAAAAAATGCCCACGGGCTGTGATGCTCCCAATCCGTTTACCACCCCCTCGCCTGCCAATGACAATGGATGGATGGCTGTGCCCACTAAGAACAGAAAGGCAGGCACGACTTTCACGGGATATGATAACACTGGAACTGCGCACCTCCAGACTGTCGTTGCGCCGAGCACTGCCAGCTCTACTCAGGCGACCACAGCAGCGTCTGTGACGACACCGACTGCATTCCAGGAGAATGTTGCATCCAGAAGGTATGGAAGGCCCGGTCATTCTACGCCACGTGGGAATACTGGTGGCACATGGTTCAAGCCGGTGAGTACTCATCTCCCCGTCACTCTTCCTTGTTCTTTCTCTTTGGTCACAAAACCTCATACCCCTTTCCGCATCTCCGCTATCCACAACACTCAGCCCATCTACAATAAACTGACATCCGACAGCAGAAGGCGCCCAAGGGCGATACTGCGGATTACGGATTCGAGAAATACGGCCCGGCAGATTTGGCAGCACATGTCCCTCCCACGAAGAGACCCCAGAACGATGGTTGGGACAGCTCGGATGAGATGTAGAAGCTTTGGTGCTACTGCTTCTCTACCCGCACACACCACTTCCACGAACACCTTCGCGTCACATTTAGCTGCTCTCTAGGAGTCGATGGAGTCTGAATGTCCTATCTGTCTACTCTCGTTTACTCATCCTTGCTAGCATTAGAAGTATTAGGTAGTACAGTTCTCCTTTTCCAGCTCTTATCAGGGGGTTTTGTTTATGAGGTATAGGAGAATTGCTCGTACTATCTATCGTTATCCTCTTTGCCCATTCCTCTATGAAGAAGAGCATAACAGTAACAAAAGTTGGAAAAAGAAACATTAACAACAGCTATATAGCCACCTGCCTCCTATGCTACCCTATAGCATCAAAAAAGGGGGGGAAGGGGCTTATGATAGACTAAAAGACAACAATTCTCTGCCTTTGTGTCTAAAAAAGTGATATATATGGCGTTATTACAGATAGATCCTTTTGGCGGCTTATAACTAAGGATGCGGAACACTTGCTAGGTTTAACCCATAACTCGCTTAGAAGAGTTATTACTAGTCTTATTCGAGAGCGCCAGAGTGAAGTCTCATTATGGCCAGAAGGACGAAGTGGTGAAGAAGATCCTCCTTCTTCATATAACAACGTAGTTGACTAGTGGATTAATATCGTGTTGAAGGAGGAGGTTGCTCAGACTGATTGGTTGGGCGTGTGGCTCGCCAACCGAATCGGGTTGCGGACCACCCACAAATAGTTCTGTAGATAGTGTTATACTGACATTCGTTGCACTCAGTTTGCTATCAAACTTAAGAGCAAACTTACAAATCTCCTCCTCAAACCTACAAGTCACTATACATATTTTGGCTTATCACACCAACAACAAGAGCAATACTACTCAACGATTGCTACAACCCTCTATGATTCATTACACGTCATTGCTCCTTAGTTACTGGGCCGATATGACCACATAGCATATCTCTACAACCCTCTATGATTCATTTCATGACATCACTCCTTAGTTACTGGGCCAATACTACACATGACATATCTCTATCAACTAGAGGCCTAGGAACATGAACGATAGCTCCAAAAGCTTCTACAACCTTCTATGATTCATTACACGTCATCACTCCTTAGTTTCCCACAAGATTGGTTAAGTTATGACATAATTTGTCTATAGGGGTACTCTGACCTTGGACCTCCTTTCACTTCCTATAGGCTAGGAACCTAGGAGATGGTTCTATGGGATTCTCTTATGTCGACTACAGTTACCAAGCCTGGTTAGTCATGGAAAGTCTTGGAAAATGAGAGAACTACACTCCTTTAGCATAAATAGGATTGCCCTTTCCTTAAGAAAGGGCAAGCAGACAATACAGTAAATCGACTATCACATACTTCCACATCTTTTCCAAGCTTCCAAGCATTGATCTTGTTACTCCTTGTTTCTGAAAAGTCAGTGAGGTGCTAACCTCTGACTTATCCCTGAGTTCTCAGACTCAACATTTGTTACAACTTGTCTAAACCACTCCACTACATCATACACCTGATTGCTGCGTTGTGAAATAGTCTAAGCTACGACCCTTTGGCTCTGTTTCCTAAGACAGTGTGTTGTCTTAGTAAAATCATCCCTTCCTTGGGTGGCTAGATTCTCACATCTGGTGCACCCACCATTACAGATAGCTTCACTCAAAACAACAATACAACACATATTCTAGTGAACTGTTGTTCAACTCAACTTGATGACTTATACTACTGCTGCAAGTGATATCATACACTTCAACAGGTTATGAGCCCGGCTATCGCAAAGCCAAAAGTTATCATATTCAGAGAAGTGCTCATTACAGCACATACAATCTGAATTCATGGATAAGTGCTAACATACAGCACATACACTCCACGAAAACCTCAAGACGAACTTGTAGCCTCTGGCAGATGATCGATTCAACTCAGCAAGAAGAGGAAGAAGAAGATCAATTCTACAATCTAGGAAGCCCCAGATCGAATCCATCATCCATCATCCAACTCTCACAAACTCGAAATTCCTTATACAAACACACAAGACCTTTCACAATGGGTGAAGGCAATGGAGGTCGGAATAACCTCCCAGAGAACATGAAACTCCAAGGAGAGGAGAATTATATACAATGGAAAACTGTGATGGAGGACCTCGCGGATGCCAACGACCTTGTCCGTTTCGTACACCCAAAAGGCAAAGCTCCTCCACAAGCAGATGAGTTCAATGAGAAGGTAGAGGGATCAGAAGGAGGACTAGATAAGGTAGTAGATAGATCAAGTAGCTAGTATTGATTTCTGCATCTTTATTCACTGAGTTAAAATAAATAAAAAAAGCGTGCTGTTTCAAAAGCTAGTCAGAAGACAATAATATGTAGTTTATAGTTCTGAATTTGTTTTCTGCAAAATAATAATACAAAACAACACAAATATTCATAGTCCACACACAACGCGTTAGAAAAGAGATAAACGAGTTACAAATATGTTTGCTATATTATACTAAACAATCGAAACCCATCTATATTATAATACATTTTGGCTACCCCCTGCAGGATTGATTGGCTACAAAATGGCAAAATTCATGATTGGTTAGGGCGTATATAGACCCGCTTATTACTTCTCTAGGCTCAAGGTGCACAATTTTTACCCTGGGATCCACTGTTCTATGGTCCGTACCTGCCATCTGTAGCCCCTGTCTGCACCCGTAACTATTAATGTATATAGTTCTACCTCCTAAAGCTAGCTGTAGACTGTGCCTTTGATATAGGTCTTATGAGTTCCTCCCCTCCAATTCGGTGTTCCCACTGCCATGCGTACCGGGAGTTGTCGCTGTTCCGTACGAATCGCCTAGGTCGCCGGTACGCAACGTGCTCTCTATGCTCTACCTCCCAGAATTCTCGCCATAGAATACAGGCCCGTGGTAGACATCACCACCCATGGTATTACTTCCCTTTATACTTAGTGAATACCAGCTTACAGACTGTCTATAGCCTCCTACGGACACCCTACTTAGTGACTACCAGCTTATGGCCCGCCTACAGTGTAAGGACACAGGGCACCCAGCTCACAGTAATAGCATATGAGAGTGCGAGTCGGAGGCTAAATGGATGCTATCCTATAGGTCTACTACGAAGGATACAAAAAGATGATGAGGAACCCCGTTGGGTCAATCCCCTTAAGTACCCGAAACGGGTCCGACTTGGCTAACCTGCCCTAACTCTCCCCACGTGACCGTAACCTGCCCGACTCCGATGCTTTCCATCACTGAGGGCTTTCCATCACTGAGGGCTTTCCATCACTGAGGGCTTTCCATCACTGAGGGCTTTCCATCACTGAGGGCTTTCCATCACTGAGGGCGGAGGCATCCTTACACTACCCCCCCTCTTAAGAGAGTGTTTTGTCCGCGAAACAAGCTGTGAGAATTATTTCTGCAACATCTCTGAATGGTATCCGTGAGAAGAGCGTTCTATGTTGGCAGGAATTCTGTTTGTAATTGCATCTGTAACAACCCTGTTTATGTGCCATGTCGGGAAGGTGCGTTGTATGTCATGCTAGAGCTGTGCCGTATCGACTCCGTTTATTGTGCGGAACCAGAGTTTGCTTTGTTCGCTCTGGGGTACATTCGTGGTGGTCCGAGTGGACTCCGAATCGTATTGTAATGGTGGATGAGAATCTAGCCACCCAAGGAAGGGATGAATTTACTAAGACAACACACTGTCTTAGGAAACAGAGCCAAAGGGTTGTAGCCTATTCCACAACGCAGCAATCAGGTGTATGATGTGGTGAAGTGGTTTAGACAAGTTGCAACAAATGTTGAGTCTGAGAACTCAGGGGTAAGTCAGAGGTTAACACCTCACTGACTTTTCAGAAACAAGGAGTAACCAGATGAATGCTTGGAAGCTTGGAAAAGACGTAGAAGTATGTGCTAGTCGATTTACTGTATTGCCTGCTTGCCCTTTCTTAAGGAAAGGGCAATCCTATTTATGCCAAAGTAGTGTAGTTCTCTCATTTTCCAAGACTTTCCATGACTAACCAGGCTTGGTAAATGTATTAGAAATCAAGTGCGACCCACAACTAGCTTGCTAATCATGTAGTGAACGTAAGAGAATCCCATAGAACCATCTCTTGGGTTCCTAGCCTATAGGAAGTGAAAAGGAGGTCCAAGGTCAGAGTACCTATAGACAAATTATGTCATAACTTAACCAATCTTGTGGGTAACTAAGGAGCGATGACGTGTAATGAATCATAGAGGGTTGTAGAAGCTTCTAGAGCTATTGTTCATGTTCCTAGGCCTCTAGTTGGTAGAGATATGCCATGTGGTAGTATTGGCCCACCCCCTTAAGGAGGAGATTTTCTTAATAACTTGTTCAATGAGTGTCCAAATAATATGCCGTGATGTATGTAGCATAAACAGATGTAGTAGAAGAGTTAGCAGCAATCGTTGAGTAGTATTGCTTCTGTTGTTGGTGTGATAAGCCAAGATATGTATGGTGACTTGTAGGTTTGAGGAGGAGATTTCTAAGTTTGCTCTTGAGTTTGATAGCAAACTGAGTGCAACGAATGTCAGTATGACACGTATCTGCGAAGCGTTCGGGTTAGGCTTTGCTTTGTTCGCTCTGGGGTACATTCGTGGTGGTCCGAGTGGACTCCGAATCGTATCTGCGAAGCGTTCGGGTTAGAATTTGCTTTGTTCGCTCTGGGGTGCATTCCTGGTGGTCCGAGTGGACTCTGAATCACATCCGCGAAGCGTTCGGGTTAGACTGTCCTATGTATGAAAGGAGAAGTGTTCACGCTAACCCGATTCGGAGTTCATTGTTGTAAGCCAGACTATGAGTGTGCAGCCGCATCCACTTCTTCTTTTTGTCTCCAACAACAACGCCAGCGACCACCCCTCTGAGAACTGTAAGTGACCCCTTCTTGTGGATTGTCCGACGGTGCACTAATGAATTGGATAGAATATTTCCATCCACAAGAACGAGTAGGTGATGGGAGCGTGTTGGCACTGGGGTGATAACGTGTGCTGGGCTGACGGGATTCTGCGCAGAATTCCAACTTTTTGTGATGCCGATTCCGACTCCCGCGGGAGCTTTGTCGGGCGCATTCCATGTCCTCTGCCTGCACTGCCTTCAGGCCAAAGCTCGTGGCATCAAGGACCACGATTGTGTCTGGTCCCCCGCCTCCTCCAAGTGCGAGTACTGCACGGCGCAGCACTCCACCTGCGTTCCGGTGAGTTCCCTTGTGCTGTTCTGTCTCTGTTGGCTTTTGCTAACAATTTGCATAGCTTCCCTGGTTCCTCGACGAGGAATACCGTGTCCTTGCTGCCACCAAAGCAGCAGATCCTTGGGACCCCGTCGCCGTCGAAGCCGCTGCCACAGAGGCAAACCGGGTGGCCCTTGTGGCTGCCCAAAGTGT